GAATTCGGGCGATTCCGTCATACTGCGGAATCAGACGAAGTAATATTACGGAAATCTAAGCTATTTTAGTTACTTCGGTAATCCCAGTGTGTTTATATAAATAGGATTTCTATTTTTACTTGATTTATCGGTTTAAAACCGTAATAAATTATAAACGAAATTGTTCCGTTTCAATTCTTTTTCAAGACGCAAAAGTTAGTTTCTTTTATAATTGTTTTTGTCTGTATTAGTTTTATACAATCAGGTACGTATATTAACATATATACCTGATACAATAGAGGATGGTTACGTCTCCAAAGCAAATCACACAGAATATTAGTGCATGATCGAGTTATATTTAGATCTAATGAACACAGTGAGGTAATCTAAAAATAGCCCATGCATATCATTAACCTTACCACGTTAGCGCATCGTATCTGTGGTCGTGTAACATAGTTGATACATGCTTATTAATTGGTACCACGTAACGAAGTATTTTAGTGCATTTACTTGTCCATAAAGATGCTATATAAATGAAATTAGCAACTGCCAAAACGAATGATTTCTCTGGAAATGAAATGTGCACACTTGTTTCCTTTTCAGTATGATAGAATAGTTAGTATTTTTATGATTGATTATTTTCTTTATAAGTTTTATACAATAGAGAATAGATTTCAAATCGTTTTGACAAAAAATATTCGTTTTTACAAAAAAAAAAAAAACAACTAAATAAACACTTTATGATATTCAAATACCGTAATTCAAAAAAAATTGTGATAATAAATTGAAACAAAAAAAAAAAAAAAACAATTTTAAAGGGTTGGGATGAAGGCACAACTGTGCAAGCCTTTCCTTTTAAAAGGAAACTTTATTCTATGTTTAGAACATGATGGAATTTCCATGATTTGTGTTACGAGCCGAATATTGATGTGTAACATTTAAATTTTGGTGAGTGATCGTAATAAAAAATAATGTTTAAGTAACTATGATTTTTGTACGGGAACTGCTCGCATGCCAGTAAAGTAAATACTAAAGTAGATGTCATTTCTATACCGCTGTGAATTGAGTTTGATATATTGATTATCAGTGGAAATGAAAGTAGGAAGTGACCCATACAAATTATTTAAATGATTTGGCGAATCGAAAGCACTTTTAGCAGTGTTTACTCATTAATCATTGTTTAAATGATATAAAAATGTTCAATAAATCTATTTTTTGGATAAATTGCGTATTATGAAAATGATTAATTGCTTATTTTTTTTTAATTTGAATTTGATTCTACAAGAGTGACATAAAGATTTTAAGCCCGATCTGGATTGAATACTTTATATTCACAGCATGATAATTTTAATTATTATTAATTCTAGTTGCAGGAAGAGGAACACAATTTTTATATCTGGCGTCTTTATAGTGCTGTTTATCGTCACAATGACGTCATATTTATTTAGAAAAACAGAACATACAGACTTTCCAACGGTAACATTGAATATCTCATACTGTCTGTATAAACTAAATGCTGTATGATTATACAAAAAGAAAAAAAAAAGGAAAAGAAAATGTAAGATTGTGCAAAAATAGCCATAACGGCGTAAGTCACGCAGTAAAAATATGATGACAAATACTGCAAAATTATCAATTGCATATAGCATGTGGATCTAAATTATTTCTAGAATTGCAACTATTTTTATTCTTCTTAAAATCGAGTAATTGATCTCAAGGTTGATTTTATTGAAATATTTAGGCTCACTCGGAGACACGCAGCTTCACATCATAATCCTGATTTACAATTACAGATTAGATAGTTATTGTTTTTATTTAAATTTATTTATAAAGCAAACAGAAAATAGAACGTAAAGGCTGACTTGATTAAGCTTTAGGTAAATTAAACATTCAAAATTTTTACATAATTCTGTGACCTTTTTCAAATAAGATTCAATCTTTAAAGCTGCACGCCTCCAGATGAGCCAAAATATTTAAAAAACAATCAATCTTTGGAAAAAATGTATTAAGATCTTAAAAGAAAAAAAAATCAATATTCAGTTAATTATTTACATGTTATGTGCGATTAATGACTAATTTTGCAGTATCAATCACTGTAATCATATATATTGCGTTACAAACGCAGTAAGAGGTACTTATTTATTTTGACCTCTTTTTGGTAATTTACGTGGATTGTAAGCGCCGTTTGCAATGTGTAAATTACTTTATTTGTCCACTTCACAGTATGTTACTTTTAAATATATTTTCATGAAAATAAGCATGAATCTGGAGGCATGTTGCTTTAAAAGTTTATTTAATGTTCAAAGCATCAAACGTTCTATGAAATATTGCTTGTCAAAACGGGTATGTTATTTTGCTATAACAATTTATTTTTTTCAGTACTGGAAACAGACAACAATATTTCCACGACACAGAGGTAATACTCTAGTTGATAAGACAGACGTCGTTCTCCAGTACGATTCATTAACAAGATATGACTCTAAAGTATTCAACGAAGACAGTACCATGGATGCCAACAAACAAAAGGACAAAGATAATCTAACAAAAACCGTGAAAAGTTTACCACTTCAACCATCAATAAATAGTAAAGTTCAACAATCAATAAACAGTAAACTAGAAACTACTAAGGAGGTAACGCACGTAGGATTTCTTAAAGTACACAAAGCAGCAAGTTCTACTGCGCAAAGCATCATTCTTCGTTTTGGACTGGAAAGAAACTTGTCCATCGTCATTCCTACTCCTATCCATTATATATCAAAGAGGAAATATTTCTTTAGTGACATATGGCCGTCTTTCCACGAATTGTCAAGTGTTCGTGGAAATATTGATACAAAACTAAAGTACGATATTCTGTCTCACCATATGGTGTTTAATCACAAAAAAGTTTCACAGCTTCTACATAATGATACAGTTTACGTCGCAATTGTCCGGGATCCTTTTGATCTTTTTGTATCAGCCGCAGTGTATTATAAATTTGCATTTAAAACGCCTTATCATTATCTCTTTCCAAACTGTCCAACGAGACATTCATAACTGATTTAATTAGAAATCCTAAACAATTTGAAGCGTCATCTAAATTCAACTCTGTGACATATAACCTAATGTCTTATGATTTTGGTCTAGAGTGTCTCGATGCAAGAAAGCCTGAAATATGTACAGACGAAATATTTCACGCATTTCTTAATAAGACCAGGGATATATTTGACGTTGTGATGATTGTTGAAAGGTTTGATGAATCATTAGTCATCTTAAAAAGATACATGAATTGGTCAATAAAAGATATACTTTACACAAAGATTAACAGATTTTCATCAGATCAATTAAGTAACTTCTCCGAGAGTTTTAATGTCACAGCTGACGATATGGCGGTTTTCAAAGAGAGGAACAAATTTGATTACGGAATATACAGTCTTTTCAAGCACCGTTTAGATGAACAAATATTAGGTCAAAAAGATTTAAAAGACGAGGTTACTCATTTTAAAATGATTTTACGCGACGTTCAGGTTTTTTGTGAAAGTAATGCAAAAACGGAAGCTTCTCGCGAGGATATTGCTGACGAAAATTGTCAAAATAAAACCCCAAGGTTAGAACAGCATATAGATGTAAAAAACAAGAAATTATTAAAATCAATTAAAATGATTTTAACAACAAAAATTGTGTCACGCAGACAAGAAGAGGAACTTTTTGAATTATTCGACTTGATAGAAAAGGATGCCATTGAAACAACAACTGTGCCTATTTCAGTATTGCTTCCCTTGCTTTTTGAAGACAAAATAAATATACCTCAGTCAAAACTGTTTATTCCGAAGTCAAAGTGGAATAAAGATTTTTATGTTTCAACACGTGACTGTGCCATAATGATGAAGGAAATAATGCCATTATACGACGTTGTTAAACACAATCATTTAAAAATTCTTATTGAAAGGAAGTTGGGTCATTCATTTTCTCTGATTGAAGCTGTGGAATACTTGTCAACGTTCACATAAAACTTTATGAAATGTTATTTGTGTTTAACTGGTGCAAAAACAGAATCCGGCAACTCAATATCGTGATTTTTGTTTTCTCATCCAAATGAATATGTTTCAGAAGCATAATACTTATTTGTGTTTCGGAAAAGGAGCGACTTGCAATTCCTTCTTCTATGTATAATGTCTTTGCATTTGCCTAGGAAATAAGAGAACCTATTTGTAGACGTAGGGAATTTCAAAATGCATTGTTACATTCGGTTTCATTATTTCTCTATCTATTTCTACTCTTTGATTTGTTTTCAAAAATATAAATTCGTATTTTATTGGTAATTATCATGCACCTTGATATATATTACAGTTTACTAGTTAAGGCGAGTGGCGATGCTCTTTTCTAATTATCTCTCGTGAACAGGGTCTGAGATGTTAAACTATTTGTTTTATTCGGCACGATTTACTGCGGAATGACACGATTAAATTTGCGAGTCGATAATAAAAACAAAAGTATATTAAAACGTTTACATATTTATCAGCATTACTCTTTAGGACAAATTTATTTTCTTGCTTCGTTGCAAAACATTTTTATATACATTTTCCTTAAATGGAAAAACAAAGTTCTCTTATCTCCGTATACAAGTTATGGACTGTGCAAAGTCGAACCAGGCTATAATTAAATCATGCGTTAACACGTTTCATCTATGAACAGCAAGGGAAAACAAACGCATTGGTGTTGCATTTGATTGTAATAAAACATCTGAATTTTTCAACCTGTCCGTTTGTTTACTTTTAAAAAGTATGAATTAAGTTTGTTTTGAAGAAATTTAAATGTATTCTGAGTATATCTTAAAGTTTTGTATTTTTCCTTTGAAATGATTTGGATAGTGCGGTGCGGCTTCAAAAAAACTTTAATAGCCGCCTTTTATGTGTGTGTGTGTGTGTGTGTGTGTGTGTGTGTGCGTGTGTGTGTGTGTGTGTGTGTTGGTTGTGTGTCTGTTTTAATTTGGTTAGATTTGGTAATGGGCCTGATGCCTTTAATGACTTATATTCATGTATACTATATGTTTATGCTCAAATCTGATTTTTTAATGTTGGTCATTTGCTTATTAAAATTAAGATATCGTTTAATTGTGATAAAATTAATAATGTCCAAGGCATAAGAATAAACCATTACAAACATATCACCTCTGTCTATATATAAATAAGAAACATTGTTTCGGATTCCTGGCACAATACGACATTGACTAAAGGGTACCCGTCATGTCACAAAGCATAAAACGAGTACTACTAGCAGATCTTAACAGACATTCATCTATGCTCCTCCAGAGCCATTTTACGCTTGCGTAAAACCTCGCTTGTTTCATAAATTTTACATAAAAACGTTGCTTTTTGAAAAAAAAGCAATATTCGCTTGTTTCATAAATTTTACATAAAAACGTTGCTTTTTGAAAAAAAGCAATATACATGTAAAGAAAATGTATTCTAAAAGATAATATTTGTATACCAGGTCAAAGATTTTGCCAACTTGATAACCGCCGTATGGACATATCTGCGGATGTTTCTTAATTGAAAATTTCACCACATTTTTGGTTTAAATGTTGAATTCTGCTTAAACTGATGCTGGGCGGGGGGGGGGGGGGGCGTTGTGTTTCACGTGTTGAAACAAACTGTACAGCTCATTTTGTTATTCTTGCATTTGTCCGTTTAAAAGTGATTATTGATACCATGACTGCATAAAATGCATTGGTTAACAGGGACTTTAGCTAACAGTGAAATATGTTTATTTAGATTTTTAAAGCTTGTCATGAATCTGGGACATTTATATTTAAAAACAAGAATTATCTTTAAAAAGATACTCGACCGAAGTCAAACTAGTTAACTTGCATAGTATAGGATAAGCTACTACTAACCATGCTAACCGCAAACAGAACATTTTATTGTCCTCAATAGTTTTATTTCAGTTAATTTTTACCCGTAACTTTTTCTCCATTAATTTTCATCTTAGATTTAAACAATATTACTTACGTTATTTGATTTTAATCAAAATGGAATTTGATTTGAATAGGAATTTATGATAAAACAAAGATTAAGTAGATACTGTACGAGGATTTTGCAACTGTAAATTCGTCGAAAGTTCGTTTCAATAGTCTTATGCCGGGTTCGAGAAGAGAGTATAATAATTAGGACAGCTTAGAAGAGAAACCCAATCGAACGCAAAAGTATCAAAAAGGTGATCTGTCATATTTAATTTAAAGCTGTAAGAAACATCTAAAAAAACATTATTGTGTTTTTATATTTATTCTGACTTCTATCTTTTTCCAACGCTTTTTGCCATCGCGCAATCGAACATACCTCTAGCTATAACGGAAGCTCTTCTAAAGTATCAATCGAACAGGCTATTAGAAATGAAATTTTTTCTTTACTGTTATTTTTAGCGGAAGTCATGGTGAAACGGCCGAAAAAAACCACACGCACAACAAAACAAAACAAAAACAATTTGCGGGAAAGAAAAGAATCTTTAATTCAAAATCTGAAAAAAAAAGTTTTTAGACAAATAGGATATGAAAGATCAAAAAGTAAATATATTCTAACATAGATATCTTACATGATAATAGATAAAAATATAGATATAGAAAATATCCTTTTTACAGCAGTTTATTATACAAATTGGACGGAATTTACTGAGGACGGAAGAGTGTTTAAGTCTTCACCACATCTATAAATGTTGATATAATAACTGTCTCTTTAAATAACACTGAGCTTATGTCCTATTAATTATTGGTATACTGTCAAAGTCGATTTCGTATCCTCCTTTTAAGAATAATCGATTCTGGTTTGCCAACTTGAGCGATAATCTTTCGATTGCTAATTGAATATGCACTTTCTTAGATGTTGTAAGAATGTCTGTTGTCTCTTGTTTTAGGAGCGATGTGTTAATTTCATGTATAGATCTTATGTGTAAAAAGTTTAAAAATTACATATATATTCATGAAATGTTTGTATATATATATTGTTTATATGTATTTATCAGTCTAGTAACCTAACAGAAAAATACCAATATTTAGCAAAGCAATCATTGATCTTTGACTTGTTAAATTGTTTATAATGATTTATATTGAATTTCTATTCCAGATCAAGTTAAACATTTAATCAAAAGGTTTTAGAAAGTAAAAAAAGAAGAAATTTAAGATTATTGAAATTCATTGCATAAATTTTAATATTCTTCAATTTTAGATCATATCACTCTCAAACATGATTTTTAATTTCTGTTAAATGCTTTTTAAAAATTCTAAACTTCTTTAGAAACACTGTAATATATGTAAAGATGGCACTTGTCAACTATAACATGTATAAAGATTCAATAGTAATGTCAGAAAGGGACGCTAAGGAAAAAGAGAAACAATAATACAAAGGGTCAAATATCGGAATCAAAGTTGCTTATTATTAATCAGTCTGCACGTCGGTCATCCCACGGGCCCCATTACTGATGCGTTGGGCACCAGGAACACGCGGAGGAGGATGTGACATCTCGTCTTGTTGGGCCTGTGCTTTCATAGCCATCTTCTTTGCCATTCCTTTCTGTAGAAAGGCTTCAAACCTTTCATCACCCATATACATGTTTGAAACGGATGCCAAGAACCTTTGAAATAAATTACAATTAACATTTATTACTTATCGAGATATACACGAGCTCGTATTTGTACCAAATGAAAAATATCGTGCCAAGAGGATAATGACAACAGCAGCGGCAGCAGCAGCAGCAGCAGCAAAATACCGTATATAAACGAGTATCTTGATAACTTACTGTCGTGTCTAAGTATTTTAAGTTTATCATTAGTTAGATCTTTTTACATAACAAATACATTGTACTTTTCACTTGTAAAATGACTGGTAAAAATCCGTAAACATATATCTTTTTGTTATAGTACTACCTGACAGTCAACACAAGATATACATCAGAGCAAGTGTTTCGCTTATTATATTAAATCTGTACTAAAACAATTACTTATTTACTTATTTCTGTTCATTATATAAGATAACATTTACACAAAAGCATACAGTCTCTTGCAAATAGATATATGTGCATTTTAAAAAAGCTTAACCAGCCAATATGTAATACATTTTTTTACGCCTGTATCTTACAATAACTTACCTGTCAATTTGATCTGGGAAGTAATCAATCTGTCCTTCGAGGGTTCTGTAATTCTTGTTCCTGTCTTCCATCTCAGCTGGTGATATTGTTGTATTATCACGACCAATTCCAGTCCAGGCTTTAAACCTATGGTAAAGCATATACAGTATTATAAATCAACGAATACTGTCTTTCCCATTACTAGATTTATTAGTAAAAATGTCCAAAAAAGAATAAATCAATGTTAATACTGGGACCACAAATATACCATTTATTTTTATTTTTGGTCCCAGGTTAATACAATGATCTGTGAACGCTAATTATTCACCTATACAGAATTACGCTTGTGTTAGATATATTGATTTAAGTTGACTTTTTAAAAACAAATGAGCCATATAACTTGTTTTATTACAACTTGTTAAATATACAAAACGATTGATCGCATTTTCTTTGCCTTTGCAATTTTGTTAAATTAAACAATAAATAAACTATACTCTTTCAAATTCAATTTAGCAACACAAGTACCAGTTTTACCTATTAAAGTTGCTATGTAAACATTGAATAAGTCTAACACCAATCGTTTGCTTACCTGCCCAACATGAACTCAACAATTTCGTAGTCATTTTCTTGTTTGGCTTTGTCGTTCCTGACGGCTGAAAACGTGTCATTGAGGATGGACAGTAGCATATTGACCACAATAAATGTTACCGTTACAACGAACAGGAATATGAAAATCTGAGTCAGCCATTGGTTAACGCCAAGCATGTTGTAAATGTCAAACTTACCCATCATCATAACTATACCTAGAAGATAAAAAGAGAAAAAATACCTTGAAAATACAGATCGATATACATGATTAATGTTAAAATAATGTTATTATCAAATAAACAGTTATCAAGTATTTCCAACAATTTACCAATAATTTAATATACGTTTAACCATTCAAACTATTTTTCAATTTATCTTTCCTTTCAAATTGGTAAATTCATGCAATGGATAATTAAGCGTTATTTGAAATGCTGATAATATTAGCACTTTAGATCTACAGAGCCGCAACTATGGCCTAATAAATAATTACCAGCTTCCATCGACCTGTGGAACGTTTTGAAGGTGTCTAGATGTGCCATGAAAACCAGATAAAAGACCTGGATAAAAGCAAGGAAAACCACATTGAAGATGATGCTGAAGTGAATAAGATCTTTGCTAGAGTTTCGAAGGGTGTCTGACAACATGGAGATTTTCTTATTGAACCGAAGAAGTTTCAGGAATTTAAGTGTGGCACAGAACACTAGGAATCCAATAATGTAGTTGAAGATTTCGCTCCAATATCCAACATACTGGAATTTCATATACTCGTTTCCATGCGTTTCATTGAAATATTCGGTGAGTCTGTTGATGCAGAAGAGGCGGTAGAAGTAGATAACGATCGCTGTAACAGACATAGCGCAAATGCCAAGGTCGACAAGATTCCAAAATTGGAAGAAATATTCTTTCTTTTGTTTGATGATGTACTTGATCTCCTTACAAACGAAGAATACAGTGAATAAAAAGTAGACTATTTCACAGATGATCTGGAAAAGTAATGCAGAATTCATGTAGGGTAACAAGTTGCAGGGCTCGAATCTGAATGACGTAAACACTCCACCGTTTGGTAAAAACTCTGCTAAAAGTGTCGATACGGAGAAAAGATTAATCGATGGATTGTAGACCGTGAACTCCAGGAAAACCGCCCTTGTGTATTTATCTATCCATCTTTCATTCTGAAGCTGATCAAAATGGGCGATCATATCCTCGTATGCCTGATTAAGCTTAACAACATATCCTCCACCACCGTACAATGACATTTCACCCCAGTATGGATAGCTGTCTAACGAAGACCCAGTGTTATATTTATACTCGTATCTGAAATTGACACAACTAACAAATCTTTATTTCGTGCGAACTTCTGTTTTTGACTGATATTTAGAATGATTAACACTAATCTTGTTCACTGAATGAACAATTCAGGTAAATAATTTATGGATTGTAGTTATTACGCATGGATTATAATTATTCTTTTGTAAAGAGTACGAAATCACTCGTAAAATAGAATATCAAGTACAAAACAACTACAGATCCATAAACCGTAATACCTTGTGCTATTGACAGGTATAGACGAATTCCAGCCGACGCCAAAATCTCTGTCCTCCTCGTCAGCCATATCGTATGCACCATTACATTCGTCAACTATATTTTCAACATACTTTGGGAGTTTGCATGATCCTACAAATAATTATACAACTTTAAATTGGGGCATTTTTATATGACACCGAACGTCATTAAGAAAAAAGTAATGTCTGTTATCACAATCACAATGCAATGAAGGAACAGACACATTTCAAATTTTTATCTAATACAAACAGTTAACGTAAAAGTGAAAGTAGGTTTGTCAGCACGAATCGATTTTTTTTTATTATGAGAGCTTAAGCCGTATTTTAGTACAAACACATTTTTGAAAATTTGAAAATTCTTTTCCGAAACTTGCTTCTTGTATTCTACTTTTGAAAAACAAAAGAAACATTCAAATAGAAGAGTTTTTTTCAAAGTTATTAAATTTTTTTTTGATTTTTTAATGCTACTATTAGATCAAATGTAAGCGTGGGGCCGGATGGTGATAATCGGCCCTGAATGATACGGGCTAAAGAACTTGGTCATTAGTTCAGCTTTGTGAATATAATAAACCAAGACCATAATCGATTGGGTAAATTTCATCATTGATTCTTTGCGATTCATATTAATACTAAATATGTTATATCTAGTTCATCATTGAACTATGTGGCATGGATTTATATATAATATGATTTACGATTGAAACATATATCTTCGCCACACACTAGATATTTTAGCCTTATTCTATAATTTGTTATATCCTACATTTATTATTATTCAGGACATGTGCCATAATAAATATTCAATGAAGAAGTTTGAACATATCGTCAACACAAACTATTATTTTAAAACAACATAACCCGTGTATATCAAAAAGTATGAATATTTCTAGGATATTTACATTTATACTTTAACACAAATTGTTATTAACAAAAAGGACATATACTGTAACATATTTCATTCAAAACTACTATACAGCGCACCTGGAGTTATTCTTGACTGTCTTAGTATAGCATAACCCATTAGACGAGACTGCTTGTCGTTTATATATCCTCGCATGTAAAAAGGCGGAAAGTCGTTATAGTATGGTCCTGCCCTTAGACCCCGAAGCATTCCGCTCTTTGCCCATGTCCAGAAATCATCCGTGTTTCTCACCTGTTAAAATAAATAATGTAAAAACACAACAAAAATAAACGTATCATTAATTTAACTAAATGAAATATTGCCATTTTGTCTTAGATCATTGATAGTATCATTTACAAGGGCAACACTTTTATCATCGATTATCATCTGTGCTGTGATGATAGAATACTCGTATTATAACAAATGCACCTGTGAGTCTCTTATAACATTTTGATGTGAAAATAAGTAAAAAAAAATGTGTATATATATAAATAGCACGAAGATACATTTACGAGGAAGAACAAATTGTTATTTCTGGAAGGGAACCCTTTTCTGCACCTTCCTGAAAAACGTATAACCGACAGTGTTCTGCATGTGCCCCCTACACAGGTTTGCGATGGCAAATATATAGGATAGTATGACAGAAAGAAAATATGAAATGAATATGAAATAATGATAATTATAATAATATGAAGTGTCCAAACAACGCAGCCCAGATAATGTCAAGAGCGTCCGAACTACATACAATAAGACTTTTGCAGTTCATAAAGATTTGGAGTTTATTTTCTATTCTATCTGATCGTCAGCGATTACTGACATTCAAAAATATATGCATCAATCTCTTAGTGCTTTATTCACTGGGTAAATTGGTATGAGATGAAAACATTGACAAGAGCATTCATTACGGTCTAGTTCATAATTTATTTAGCTGAAAGCGCTATTTGAAAATAAAAGAAACGATTAGTACATACATAATAATACATACTGTTCGTGAATTGAAATAAAAAGAAGTTTAACATTTACCTTAGAGAAAGCTTTGTTGGTATCATTTGTGAGAATGAAAACTTTCTGCATGTTGTGTTTGTAATTGTAAGAGTTTGTGCTAACATTTCTATAGCTTATTACGAGTAATATCCACAAGAAGAAGGCATAGAATAAGATCTCTCTGATAACCGACCACATCTGAATTTCCTTCAATCTCTGTTTTCTTGCTGCTTCTAATGCTTTTGTATCTGGTGGTTTCGGTTTATGCATCGGTTTACGGGGCGATACGAATCCAAACTCTATAACAGATTGTTTATTATTATCAGACATAAATAATTTTGGAAATCCCATATGTTACAAGGACAATTAGGAAATATGAAAAGCAATAAATTTGAAATACATGTAGAACTGTTTGCCTGTTTGGAACATGACAATTGTAAAACCATTTTCTCCACAAAATATTGCATAAATACAAATGCATATTTAAAGTTTCACTGTTGCAAAAGTAGCGTATAGGCATCATTGCAAGTGGACGACAGCTTGCGTTTACCACTGCCGTACAAGAAAAAAAATCCATCAAACCGAGTCTTCAATAATTTCGATTTTGCTGTACCGGACAACCACTAAGATTTCTATTTTTAATTTGTTTATATTTCATTTAAAATTCATATGCATCAACGCAAGTTTTAAACCATTCATGTGTATGACCAGTAAACAAAGTTACGCTCTGAGATACAAACCGTCTTCTTCCTCATGCAAGAACTCTTCGTCTGTGTCGAGCTTTTTAGGAGCCTCCTCGTCATCATCTTCCTCTTCGTCACCACCTGGATTCTTTATTATCAATGAGAATATGATGGCAAAAAGGAACACCTGAAAATAAAGCATCCATATCCATAACAAAATGTCATTGTTGATAATTATGTAAATCCCAATACATGTTATATATAAATATCTCTTTGAGCACTGTATTGTTTATGAAAACAAAAATGATAGCGGTTTGGAAATTTTAGAATCAAATTGACTATTGACTATTGTTCTTACTTTGCACTGATTTTAAATTTCTCTTTATTTTCAGTATTGTATAAGCAATGTAATGTTTATGTGTTGTTCATAGTGTTGTTATTTCTCAAATGAACACTAACATAAATTGACAAAGTGTATTGGTTTATGAATCGTTTCATCATATGCATACTCATAATCTAAGCAATCTAAACAATCAATATTGTCTTATAAATTAGTACATAAAGCACACAATAATAACTTTACCTTGATTGGTTGTGTGAAGAAAACCGAGGTAAAGAAAGATATCAGCATGGAAGTTATCCACTTTTTGCATTTGATGTCCTGAAACATGATTCCGTAGAATGTAACAAAAGCGGCAGATACGAGGACGGCAATCCACAATAGAACCCAAGACACTATTACAAACCACCACGGTAGCTCACACTTCTTCTTCTTCTTATTCTTTACGTTTTGAGTGTTAGGTGCGGACATTGAAGACTCTGGACGGGACATTGACGATTGTGAGCGCTTTGTATCCATAAGGAAGGAAGAGCCTGGTCTTTCATAATCCAGAGAGCTTTTAACACGAGGATTTACATCAGCCATAGATGTTGAACGTTCTGGTTTCGACCTAATCGCTTCTTCTACACGTGATGGTCGAAGCTTGCGAGGCCGCGATTTACGGAACAGAGTAATGAGTAGAAAATTAACAGGGAATATGATTATATTGCACACAACTCCAATAAAGATCTGAAATCAAAAGAAATGGTATGAATAAAAGCAAGACTGGTGTTATTTCAGTTTTAAATGTACATATTTCCAACATGAAAATTACTAATAAAACAAATATCAAAATTTACGTAACATCTAATATAGCTTCAAAGATTCAAGTAACAAATATTAAACAAACATTCTAACCTGTTCTGATGTAAGAGCAAACGGTCCAAATTGGAATGCATTTGAATCGGATGTTTCTGTGCCGTAGAACATAGCATTAGCCAGCATAGATGTATACAGGAGACAGAGGCAGCACGACACACGCTGGCAGCGGGTAAATCGGCTTTGTGGTGGTCGTGCAACTACTGAGAACCACAGATGGCCATCACTTAGATTCTTTGTGGCTCGCTCAGCAAACAAATGAGAAAATTCAGTCATTTGTTCTTTTCCGGCAACAGGGATTACACGATCAACCTTAAAAGAAAAAAAGTAATGTGACCATTTTAAAAATGTTTGTATGTTATGTTCGAGTTTGTCTAAATGTATTTGAGATGATTTTACAATAGACTGTACTTTTTAATGTTCATTGGCTGTCTTGCTTTCTTATTTTACGTCTCCTATGTATTATCATTATTAACTTTAAAAGTCATTATTTTAAATAACATGTTTAGATATATTACTTGATGGTTTTGACACGTGTCAAAGAGCTGAGACCAAACATCTTAACGCATACAAGAAAGACAAACTGTATAATTCTATACTCCAATATTGAAAAGGGTACAAATGATAACTTAAAATATAGGAAAATGATTACTAGACTACTTTATACCTGACCATCATCTTCTTCAACTGCAAACCATCTATTGGCTATGAAATAGTACTTCTTATCTGTCTGTACGTCACGTACAACCACGTGGTTTAGGTACCAAGATGCCATGCGTCCTTTGCCTGAGTTGTCATGCCAGATTCGAAGATAGTTTAATGCGCCTATTGACCTTTGATTTAAATAAGCATTGACATGATAAAAAAACATTTACGCTCGTATACATCTTTACTTAATTAGAATAAAACATATATCAGTATGGTTTTCATTTTTATCAGCATTGGAAGCACAACCCATTCTTAAATGAAAGTACTTAGTAATCGTCATAGACATATGCTTTTGATGTTACTAAGCTTATGAAAAATTGTATAATTTTGCAATAATCTTAAACTGGATTATCTAATACAAAAGAATCTCTGCAGAGTAATATAACTTTGAAGACCAACAATTCATTGCTTCTGAGGTGTGTTACTTTTGAAAGGTTGTAAGCAAATACACAATACGATAAAGGATCTTATAAAAATGTAAACCTATTGAGCTTCTATAAAACAGTTAACTGTCTTGACAAAAAGTATTACAAATACAATAAATAAAAAATAAGACATTGTAAAATTATCTTACTCCGGAACAGACATAAGGAATCCATCAGTGCTTCCTCGTGTAAATATTTTTCGTTTCTTATCTTCAAATGTTCTTACATCTGTTTCTTCTTCTTCTCCAGAGAGGATAAAGTGGACCTATAAATATCAAATAAACGATATTGATAAATATTTTCTTAATTTCCATGATTTATACAAAAAAGAGTAAATATGTATAGAACATAATTGATTCCATTTATGCTTTGGCTGAATGAAAGACACAATGTATATAAAGGAGCCAGTATCTAATCTTATGTTAAATAACAATTCAAACGTAAAATTTCCCTAGATTCGTAAGTACATTTACCTTATATTCGCACTTACATTAACCTTAGATTCGTACGTCATTTTACCTTTGATTCGTAAGTATATTATTGACCTTAGATTCTAACGTCAATTTACCTTAGATTCAGTTCCAGCTCCTCGTCTCATACCAGTTGATACCATGATTTCATAGTAGTATTTATCTCTTGGATCGTTATCAAGTAATGGCGCCAAACCGAGCTAAAATACAAACAAGATGAGCAAATTATAGGTAGGGAAGCTGTAAAAGGTTACAAGAGTAACTGCGTCGTCTTAAGGAACAAGAAAACTGCATGCGTCAGAATGACGTCTAAAAAATAAATAAAATAAAGTGTTATGGCTGTTAAAATGCATTTCACTTTTCAATATATGTTTTTTTTTAACTTCATGATCGTGAATGGTTGATTTAGTTTTTATGTGAAAAAAGTGGCATAACTCTAGAATTACTGATAACGTAGTGTGTCCATTGTCTTACATATACTGCAAAGTTTTCAATATTTAAAATTTAATCCAAAATATAGTTTTCAGAGTGATTCCACATATTTAAAAAAAAACTGTGTTCCGTCATCTTAAACAAGTATTCGAAATTTTATGCTGACACCTTTGATAGTTTTGAAATCATTTTACCTAAAAGTATAAGCATAGAAAAAGCATAATTCGAAAAATTAAGCATCCAGAATAATGATCTTTGACTTATTGTCATTATTATAAGTAACGCAAGATTTCTTTAGGTATCTTTAAAGTGAGCAATATGATATACAAAACAATGCACGATAACAATGACCACAACACCGCGACGATAATAGCTCGACCTTTTCTTAGAAAAAGACGAGTTAAAAAGAACAAACGTAAAGCGCTAAATTTTACTGGATAAAAGTTATCTTATACTTTTATTAAGTTAGGTTTAATGCTTATAAAATTTTATTCATTAAAAAAAACAACATATTTTTATTTACCTTTTCCAAATCTTGTCTATCTTTCCTCCTTGCCCAAATCATGGCGACGATATAAGCTAGAGCAATGACAATTTCCGTAATGTACAGAGTTGGATTCTTGAAAAAATCGGCATTTGAGAAGATGAAATTCCAGTCTATTGTATTAGGCGCCACAGCCCAGCCTCCGGCAAATGTCGTGAGATGTTTAGTTAAACATATAATTTTATCCGGAGTTGATAACTCACTAGGCTGTAAATAGCGAAACTAATGTTATATACGATACCAAACACACACAAAAAAAACAGGTTATCATAATCAAATTTTGTGTACCACTTTTAAAAAGATGATTTACGTACTGGTATTTGTACTGGAAGTCTCTTAAAATAATATAGTGATTAAACTGACAAAACATGTTAAAATTTTAATTTGATGAAATCAACATGTAATATCACCTAAGATGAAACAAAGTGCAAGATCGTGTCTAACGAACAAATGGTTTAATGGTGCAATGTGCCTGCTAAGTAAAAAGCAATCTAGGATAAAAAATATTAAAAATGATAATTTTTTTATTAGTTTAAAGGTCAAGGTTTTACGTGAAAAAGGTGAGGAGAAATACAAACATATCGTAGATTTCAATGCCAACATTCAAAAATAGTAAGATCAATAGTTAGAATAGTCAAAATGAAATGCTGCAAGATCGGCAAACACAGCAGCAATAGAAATGCTACAAGTTCTGTTTGATAAATTAAGAGTTTGGTAACATTTTTGTGATTTAACAACAATTTCTAACCTCAACACCGTCATTTTTGAGTTGTGCTTCTCCGTCCTCATTGTAGACACAAGTCAATTCAGAAGGATGAAATCTATAATCAGTAGTGAATGCTTTGTCCGTCTTCCATGTATCTGGTGTGTTCTTGGGAAGGTCATATATACTTTTAATCGTATTTAGTTCGCCGACGGCTAATTGACGAACCCCGATATAATACCAGCCAATGTTATCAGATATTACACTTGAAGGTATGAAGCACGAATACGGATCGGGTTCACTATCACTTCCGTACTGACCTGTCAGAAAGAAGGACATAAAAAACGAATTATATTTCTATTGAGTTGTACTTAGACGTAGTCAAAGTTTATCTGTTTATCTTTAATTTAAAAACTTATCATTTAGCATATTATCAAAAGATAACGACGAACTAAAAGTGAACAACTGTGGACAGTCGACTTTCCTTTCCACTCCTCTTACATCTTACTAGCCAAGTATTGAAAATTGATGAGTGGGCATAATTCTATCGAAATTATTATTGTTTATCGAAATACTTGCCCGTTGTAGACGTCACATTAAAGAAGTAGCACAGTACTTACAAGATAAACAAGAGCTGTCGGTAGGACAGCAACGCTCGAATATTCATAGTGCTTGATGGTAAAAGAGCCTTGATAATGTAAAATTTTCTGAGTTAATAACAAAATGACATTTTTTTTTAAATTCGTGTTACAGTTATAGGCCTTGCAGAGAGTCCTATCATGCTCTCAAAGAAGAGTATAAAATTTCAGATTGTTTCAATAGAATATGAAAATATATGAGGTGGTATGCAAACCTAAATGTAAATTCAAAATTGAAAAAGGGGCATTATTCTGTCAAAAATGCTTGATACAGTTACCTCCTCCTGTCTACAGATTGGGGTTATTATGGTGAACAAGTGTGCAAAGTTTCAAAGCCATATGTCAACAGACTTTAAAAATATTTGAGGTATAACAAAAACTTTAACGTAAATTCAAAGTCGAAAAAGGGGCATAATTCTGCCAAAGTGCTTGATACAGTTACCTTCTCCTGTCTACAGGTTGGGGTCATGATGGTGAACAAGTGTGCAAAGTTTCAAAGCCATATATCAATGGACTTTGAAAAATATTTGAGGTATTACAAAAACTTTAATGTAAATTCTAAGTCGAAAAAGGGTTACAATTCTGTCAAAATGCTTGATACAGTTACCTTTTCCAGTTTACAGGTTGGGTCATGATGGTGAACAAGTGTGCAAAGTTTCAAAGCCATATGTCAATGGACTTGGAAAATATTTGAGGTATTACAAAAACTTTAACATAAGTGGTTACGCCGACACCGATGCTCGGGTGACTACAATAGCTCTACTTATTCTTATCGAATAGTCGAGCTAAAAAGTATCGGGTAAGTTATGCGTTAAAGAAGGATCAGATTACTTACACGTATGGGATCACTTAAATGTAGATACTAACCCAGTTAAGAAATATCGAGTAACTTTTACGTTGAAAGGGTATGTGATCATTTAGCCCTTAAAGAAAGTAAGGATTACTCACCTGTTATTGAAGTTACAGACTACTTAACCGTTAAAAAATAACTGATCATCTTGCCGCATAAGAAGTAACGGATCATTTACTCATTAAAAAGTTAGTTATAGGTTGGTTACTAACCGGTTAAAGAAGTAACGGATCACTTAAATTTTAAAGAAGTTACAGATAACTAACCAGTTAAAGAAGTAACGGATCATTTTGCCACTTATGAAGTTAAGGATCAATTATCGCTAAGGAAGTATCGGATTACTTACCCATTAAAGATGTATCGGATGGTATTGTACAGACATGTTTTACTTTCGAACGTTTTGGGTTTAATTCCGGCTTCTCATCAAAGTTCGTAACGACCAATAATTGCACAAATTCTGAGATGTTAGTTGGTCTATGAAATAATAGATGTAAACGATAAAATGATAGATTTAAGTACTATAAATAAGCTAATCATAATAAATATAACATGCAGCAAACACTGAAGCAGAAAATTATTGAAAAGTCTGATGTTTCAATCTTCTTTTACGTATGGATTGAACAAATAATAATACTAAGCACTATTTATATAAATACCTAAATGTCAGTTTCAGTGCAGCCCTTGCATTGACGACGCTTGTTCGGTGATAGAAAAAGATTTCGTCGTGTCGTGTAGGAACAATTTCCGGATTCTCCAGTCTAAGTTCAGACAGGTTTGTTTTTGGGGCATTTGGATCTTGAGGAATTTTCAAAACCAAGGGTGGATTCAAGTTTTTTATTTTGATTGGATTGCCATCAGAATCTTTATAACCCATTTTAACCGTTCGTGATGTTTTCTTGGCAGGAGAACTTTCCTCGCGTACAACAGACGGGGCCGCATTGACTACTAACTGAAATCATAACGATGCTATTTAAAACAAGCAAACGCAAGATAATTATCTAAAAGGAGTGAACAACATCATAATATTACATTTGTATCATTGTAACATTTAAAACATTTAGCTCATGGTAACAATTTGGATACAAATACCTTGACAAGAATTTTATGCAGACATATAGCAAAAAAAAGAAAAAGATTTTTCCTCTAAACTTAAAACAACTTTGATGGACAATAAATATTTTCTAAACCATGGTGAAACACTTTATAAAGCATATGCCTATGTAAAAATATATGAGCAGAATGCTTAATATCATAAAATATACGAGAGAAATATAATACAATTTTTAACTATTCTTATTTTTTTATGTTAATTAATTAATTATTGTGTAAACCATACCGAAAAAGTGAAAGTCTTGTCTAATTCTGTGGCTGGCATTATGCCTGGTGGAATTATAACACTGCATCCTGCCATGTCTACTGTTTTGTTCATCAAGGACTTGCCATCATTCTTATAGAGAGCAGTTGCCGAGCTAGATGTTTCCATAACCATCGGTTCTGGAGAATTGGGCAGCTTCGCGCTCAGTCTTTCAAGTAATGTTTCCTGAATATGTGTGCACTTTTGGAAGTTTCCCTCCGACTGAATTAAATAAAATGAAAGTGATAGTAAGATTTATAGTATTGGAAAGAAATGCAATCTAGTACCGGATAACTACACCACTGCAGTTGATAATAAAATGTACAACATATTGAACTAACTCTTGTCATGTTTACTGATAGTAGTCAATTAAACATCCTTAATTTAATCAATCAAGCCCGTAGAAATTATGTGAAATAATTCGTGTTGATTTTCTTATTGATTCTAGTCTTAAATAATGGCCCGTTTTTTTTATTCTATTGATATGATAATGGAAAATGAATTTGCATTTCATAGAAACTTGGCCTGATTAATTCTAGTAGCGGAAAAATATAAAACGTTTATTGTAAAGAAAATATATATGAATTGAATTGTTAAATATTACCTATGATTCGAGAGCAATACTATATAAAGAGAGAATAAGACAACTTTAGCTTACGAATTTAGTCTGGACTTCTTTATTTAGTATCCTTTTTCCATCTTTTAGAGCCGCAGCATCACTTGTATGCGCCTGAACATCTAAAAATCCAGAACATATATAGATGACATTGATTAAGTGTAGATTTACTAACTTTTTTTTTGAAAGAGCTGGATAAAATCATATTATGGGTGTCTCGGGCGACTCTAACGGCATTGTTATTACTCCAGCTGCAGCAGCAGCAACAGCAACTATATACCAAGTTACCAACAAATACCAATACCAATGCGTGTACAATAAATTATCAGATTTGACGCACTCTGTAACATGTGTTTACACTCCCGTAATGACGACACCATTGATTACAACGGTGGCATGGTCATCAGATATTAGCTACTATGCTTGACATTATTTAATATTTTAACCTAAAATAATGTTTCAAGTGTGCTGTTCTTAGCCTAACTCCTTAAACATTAGTAATTAACGGTATTTCACAGTATGTTTACATATATAGCGTTCATAACTAACACAAATGCTTGACTTTAAGTTAGTTATTGTAACACTTTACCTGGAAGTGAGGAGTCCATACTAGTGTCAAATGTTTTCACGGTTTCTTCTTGGGTGTCTTCATCAGTAATAGTTGGATGATCAGCTGTAAGAGCTGCGCTCTAAAAAAAACAACAGTATGATTAAATATTTTAACAGATATTGTGTCTGTATAACATTTGCATTAAGTATAAACATAAACGAGAACAAGGGATGAACATATCGGGTCATGTAGAACATTTAATTTTCATAGGAAGAAGTTATTTCGAAACAAGGTCAAATGCTCATGTTGAGATAATAAACTCATAAAATAGTTCTTAAAACAAGTTATGATAAAAAAAACGACTGCCAATAGTATTATGTTAGACACGTTTTTTTAGTTTACATGCCGATAGTATTATGTTTTTTAAGTTTACATTAAATGTAAAAGTATTAAGCCTAACAAAAGATATAAATTGAATTGCTTATTTATTTCTAAACATGAATCGTGCTCGTCATTTTCTATCCATTATAAATTTGTGAGTAAAGGACGACTTGCTTTTTATGATACGAAGCTCTGGAGAATGTTATTAAGGTATGTTATAAATTGTTGAATATAATTCATTTTTATCTAAGTAAAGGTGATGCAGATGGTTTGCATATTACCTCTCCAATATTTGCGCACGAGTCCATTGTATTCTGAGTGATAGATTTCATCTCTTCAATTGACATAGATGCTTCGTGTTTTAATACATTAGTCAAACTTTTATCAAGGAGATCTGTCAAAACGGCCTGAAAACATATTTTCATATTTGGTTATTTTAGCTGTAAGTCACAGGTCATATGTGCCGCGTCACGACAAAACCAACATAGTGTGTTTGCGACCAGCATGGATCCGCGCAGTCTGATCAGGATCCATGCTGTTAGCTTACAAACCCTATTACAAGTAGAGAAACTGATAGCGAACAGCATGGATCAATTGACCAATGGAAATGATTTTCAGATTTCATAATTGATCATCATGATGGCTTTACCAAACCTGGCATTAAACATTCATTTCTTTACGGCGTACATATAAATCTAATTAAATACAAGTAGATCTAGATAAAAATTTAGTTGTTAGGTTTAAGTTTTAAGATTTAATGCTATATATACCTGTGAATTACGTGTCATTGAGCTAATCGATTTACTCATGGTAGAGATGGTGCTGGTTAGCTGGTTTGTCTCAGCTGGTGACTCGGCAGTTGAAGTGCTTAGCGCTTCCGTCATTTTCTCGATTAGATTAGCTGCCGCATTTCGTGTATTTTCATACTCCGCCATTACTGTTTCGTTGAACACAGTCTGTTAAAATACATGTAATCATTAAAACATTATTTTCACTGTTAAATTATCAAGACATAATACTTAATCATATTCCAACAATGTACGGAAATCATGAATGCTAATACTTTTGAACAAATTATATTTACTAACTGTAGATCTAGTGTTGTGATTATTATTATGATCACTAGCATTATTTTGTAGCTGAAAAAGACCAATACCGGAGCGGACGACAAGACTCTGGAACTCGAGGGGAAGGAAAGTCCGTTAGAGACTTAAAGGTTTGTCAAGATCAAAATGTATTTTAACGTGTTTTAGTGTTATTGTAATAATACATGCGTTGCTTAACTCGTGAAAATAATTTAGTATGGCACTGCACTCAAAGTTTATTTTTATTTCCTAAAGAACGAACAGTTAACACACGTTTTTAAGTCTTAAAATATTGAATATAAACATTCAATATAACCTGTAAAATAAATAAAAAATGAAATTCATTTCAATGTAAATAATGTAAAACGAATTCTTGAAAAAGGTCTTCTTTTAGTCATAAATTTATAAAAGGGTTTGGTTTCATGCATTTATTTAATACATTCTGTCCAGACAATTTATTTAGTAACATAAATTTTTTATCTCCGAAGTTTTTTTTTTGTTACATAAGCTGTGAATGTTCGATCTTACCTGAGCAAAGGCGCTGGGCCGAGGTGTGTTACTAAACAGTCCGGAACTTGTATACGACAAAATGCTTCCACAGCCATTAACGTCTAAAAATCATAATACTTCGTTAACATTTTTAACTTTATAAAATCATTCAATCTTATAAAAGCCAAATTTCATTGAAAAAGTAATGATTTTAAGAAAATTCATTTGTAGATGACAATTTAAATATTGATTGAATGTAAAACGAAGTATGAATAAAATGGTGAAATGTGAATTATTTTGACACAATTTTGAAATATCACATTCAACTTCATATACATACATCCCGAACTCATGTTATCTTTATAAAACTGTCATATTTTTGAAATGTATAGTTTATATTTGTACGATTGTTTATATAAAATATACAAAACAAAACATAATAGTTGATATGTTAATCTTGCATACTCTCTGTCTATAAAGTGAAGACCTGTAAAATGTCGTCTTTACAAACAATACACCTCCCCCAGTTTGAAACAGTATTTAAAAAATAAAAAAGTATTATCATGTTATTATTGAAAATCAACAAATCCTTCAAGAACACTGAAACAACAAAATAAAATCTTAACATGCTAGTGGATTGTGTCCATTCGTCAGATACATGCTATGAAAGATAAAGCTCGCATTTAAATTATAGAATTTCCTCTCTGAATTAACAAATAATCTCAATTTCTGTCACCTAAGTCGCCAAACCCTAACGCCAAGAAGTAAAAAGTGATACAAACAAAGATATACGATTATATGGATAAGTTAGTAACACTTGTTAGTAAACAGCTCATAGTAAGAAAAACTGTGCATTCCACAACGGATAATAAAACACTTCAGTTTAGTGCAGACAAATATCGGTGAAATACTGAAAATAAAACTTTCAAAAAGAAAACTTATTTCGCTCATTCTGTAAGATATACATGCCTATAGCTTTAATACAGCGCAGATATCAGACTACTCGATTTGCTTCATTTGGTACAGAAAAACCTGTATAAAGATGTTGATCCTTCAACTTACTGTTGCCATATTTCGTTTTTTAAATCAGAAATATTTCACTTCACTACTTCCATAAGAAACTGAAAGCCGCTTATATAAACTAATAACATATTACAGAGTAATCCGAATTATGTTTCCTTTTTGAATAATTGTATTTCTTCAATTGATTTCAAAGTAATTTTAAAGGTGCATAATGTAATTTTAAAGGTGTAAAAAGTTCTGAATGTCAAAATAACATAGTTACAAATTTACCTGTCAAGAAAGTCTATTGTAATAACACTTATATACATCTAAATACAAATAACGAAATAAATGAAATATTTAGTGCCAAGTCTACTCTGAAATAAATCATTAATTGTATTAACATATTAATATTGCAGTCATAACGGTTTATCTGTAATTTTTGTGAATGTTTCGAACCTGTAACACAGATAAACCGGCGGACATAGCTCTGTTATTTCTTCCTTTTCGCCAACAGCACATAAAGATATAAACATTTATACACAAAAAGGTGCAGAAATAGTCCATTGATAATGCAATGTAACAACTTTTCTTTGAAGTGAATGCTACATCAAGACCAAAGACATTGCATCGCTCATTTCGAAACACTTCAGTCATTTTTTTAAATAATAACTCGTCTTTTACGGTACAAACGAACAAAGAAATGCACCATACATGATTACACAGTGCATACAATCCAACAATACGTTTTTCCAACATTATTGTTTAAAAATATATAGGTAAGTTTTTTTACAGACTGACTTATCGTATCAAGATAAAGCGAGTCAGTTATTAACTAAGCATAGTCTATTGCTATAAATCTGACATTTATATAAAACGATTATTTTCTCAAAGAATATAACACAAAAGTAAAACAGTAAGGCAATTCGTTCTTACTTATAAGAACTAAATGCTGCAGTATTTTAAAATGAGGCAGCAACTATTAGGTTTCACTAGAGATCTATGAATGCTTTGTGAATTTAATAAATTTATATATTAACAATGTTATGTAGATATTACATGAAATTTGTTATTTCATAAATATCACGTGACATATCTATTTTAAAGGCGAATCAATATCATACTAATTTTTGTCTCATATCTTACGGTCAGATTCAGAGCAATAGAGGAGATAGTCAAATGATTTTAACTGTTTTGGAGACCTGTTAGTGAAATAAAATTAAATGACGTATTAAAACACTTATTTAAGATCTCGATGTAAAAACAGATAAAAATGAAGTTAATCAATTTTATTTGAACCATCTATAAATATAGATATGATAATATCTGAAAATATATTCGTGTGAATTTGCAATTTCACCTAGCGAAATGAAGTGTTGCGTCAGTTAGGACATGACTAATAAGATAGGTGAATTTAGTTGCATACTTCATTAGATTAACACTATGGTCTTCAAAACAAAGATTTAAAATCATTGACTATAAAAGCAGACGAAGGCAAAAGGAGCATGCACCTCCATTCTCATCATCCTCACTCGTTTCTTGCAGCATTGATACGAGAGCAGACACAAACGCTGTAGTCTGGTCAAGATTACCGACAGCAGCAATCACCTCTCCTATATCATTTTCAGCGTTCTGTAGGTCTTTTATCATATTTTTAAATTCCACAAACGACATGCGTTCAACCTGGAAGATACGGTTACGATATAAGCTGATAAAGTTTTTAAATATAAAAAATCAATTAAATACATGTAGCTATTTTTTTGTTAATTAAAATGATTTTCTATAGTGACTTTTTATTTTTGTATGTAACACGAGTCATGTCACGAAACCATTTATTTACATTAAAATCTTAAGACCTTCTAACAATATATCTATATCTACAAATTCTGATATGAGCACTTAATTTTTCTATCCAAAAATATATTTAGGATTGAAATGCGCTTAAAAAATCACCATACCGTTACTTCCGGTAACATGTATGTTCCAGACGACCCTAAATCATCTGTGACCGTGACGTTACATCGTAGCACGCTACCATCGTCAACATCTCCTACGGGAAGATACCGATCCACCCAGTGTGGATACGAGTCCTCTAATACGATTCTTTCCCCATCAGAGGTTTTACCTTTGCGATAATAATAGATTATATAAGTGGATATCTTGGATTTAAAAGCAACAAAAGAATGAAATGTTATAAAACTCTTAAAATGTTGTGATGACTTTGAAATAAACATTAAAGAGCAACATCTGCAGTTCGTTCTTATGTGACTTTGGTCATGATATGACTAAATAATTTGTTTTGAAAGGACACAGTGTCTATATACTTCATATCTAGTATAATTACTACATTTATACATTTTTAAACTTTTCCTTTTGTGGTTCAAAAACCTAATTATTTTTTAGATGTTGGTGTATTCATTCCACAAATTAATTACATTTGAAACAAGGCTTACTCTGTGTAAACCAACAGTAACAAAACTTCAAATATTCAAACATTATATCCTCATTTTATACTCTAGACATTTTGAATCAATCGGACCCACGAATGAGGAAGAATAAACAAAAAAACTGACACTTATTTTGATAAAAATGTCCTATCATTTTTCATGCAAAACATTTGTTTGTGATGAATGTTATGATGCACTTGTAATAGAACGGACAGTAAGTGTTAAATTACAATGATATATTATATCATTGGTACTGGTTTCGTATTCCACGACAAAGCAAATACTGTTAATTTGTAAAATACAAAATATCAAGTAAACACAATGGTTTATCATGTTAAAACTTTAAAGAGAAAACAAAATCTACTCACATCTAACTACGTAAGATTTAATTTCGTCATCGTCTTCGTCAATGAAATCCGTGCAATCGATTGTGAAATTGGTGTACATAGCCGTTCCAGTAGTTGGTGAAAATGTGCAGTTGCCGCCTGAAGGTGGGTGGTTGCGAGTTAAATTCATAACCTGAAGTCCAGTTACACCCGTATCTGTGTTGTTTACCTCAAGCCGAAGTTGAAAGAGGCTTACTTTATCGTAATGGGAAAACACCTCCGTACGCACTGTGAGCTGGTCCGATTTGTCTCCTGTAATATCAAGTCATTACTTTAAAAGTAATACAATTGTGAACAGAACATGATTAATAACATTATATTTCAATTTTCCCTACTAAACTAATAAATTATTGGTGCTTTTGTTGTCAAATGACTTGAATGTTCTAGCGTACAATTCAAATGTAACACAAACCGACACAAATAACTAATTTAAAATTCATCAAATGATACAATTGACAATAATTCTTCAAATATTTAAACTTAAGAATGAATGTTTTTCTTCTAGTGCAATATAGTGTGTTACACTGTCTTGTTTAAATGCATTAACTTCACGAAGCATAGTATTTTCAAATTCAGAATAACAAGACATGTCCACGGGCGGAATGTCGAGCCCGATCATCTTAATTCAAACCTGAACCTATAAGCTTAAGATCAAGGAGAAAAAGGTATACATAGATGACATCCTCTTATCTTGCATCATCTTAGGTGACCTTGAACTCTGACCCGAAGACCTGGTTCATGTGCATGGCAGGATGTATCATGATGAACATTTTTGCCTAAAAACTCAATTCATGTTATTTGAAAATTCCTCCATGCACAAAGAAGTTATGGCATGGAAAAGGTTGGATGCACATACATGCAATGAACAGCCATTTTGACAACTATATCGAGCTCTGTTATTTAAAAAACAGGTAAAAAAGCCAAATTAGAACACGTGTTTTAACTGAAGGTGGGTGGTTGCGATTATTATATCATTTTCGTATTCTTAACAATTTTATACCTGTAAGAAAATTGTTAACAAAATACTTTAGGACTATATTTCGGGCGGGTTAACCTTGTGGTAAACGGCGTATCGCGATATCCAAAAATTAACACAAGGAAACGTTTCACTTTCTGTCACTAAAAAAGGTACAAATCTAGAAACTCATCAATTGATGTTAATACGGAACTGATACATATCTTTCTTCATTCAATGTGCTAGACTGGCTAGGCCATTCGGCTTGAGATCCACAATAGGCGGATGACAGATGGCATTGACACAAGTCGAGCAATTACAGATTAATATACCAATATAACTGAATACCTTGCTACATGTACCACAAATACCAAAACTCTGATCATCATTATCTCTGTTAGTAATAGTGGTAAATTATTTTCAAGTATTATAACAAAGTGTATGACATTTACAAATCGACAGGGAAATAAAAAGCGTACACGAAACAACATTTACTATTTCTTTACCATTTATAACTAACACATATACGATTTCTACATACAATTCAATAGCAACAAGTAACTACTAAATGTACAATACATCAAAATACGTAACATTTATGGTAAATCAAAAACATTGTTGTTAGTATTACTATTAATTTACTTGTAAATATGTATTAACACAATTATTTTTTTATTCTCTATCAGAACCAACTCTATTTTGTTTTGTTATTTAAAAAGTCATTAAAAGTTCTTCATAACACTCGTTTGAATTGCTGTTTAAGATACTTGCGTTTAATGAGAAAAAAATGTGGGCGTCTACCGAGTTCTGTACATGTTACGTTTTCCTCACATCACTAGATGGTCTATGCTGGTATGATTTTCTCGATTAAAGAAACAGAAACGTAACTTGATTTAAATTACAAAAACATTTACATAACTGATGAATATTCTCCTACTGATAACACTCTGTGTTGGAAGGATTAAATCCTCGGACACAAGAGTTACTAATTATAGATTGATTCAAAGATAGTAATTTTCTTATC